AAGAAAAAAAAAAGGAAAAACACTCTCCACATTTACTGGCAAAAAGAATAGAGTAACGAATATCTGTACAAATTTTTGCTACCTATATATTAATTCTACAAGAGAAATTAGCTAACAAAAAAACCTTTGAGGAATCGGAAACCATGCCAAAATAATCAATCATCACCACACCACTCAGATGACCTGGAGGCTTATCGTAACATTCTCATCCTGAAAATATTGAGATCATAGCTCAAAAGGAAAGTAATTTCTCTCTTCTTCTACAAAAGGACTATATACATAAGGAATAGAAAAATGAAGCACCTTTTTTAAGGCTAATTAAAAATGAGCAATGGCATATATTGTAGATAATAACTAGTACAACAACAACAACAACAACAATAACAACAACAACAACAACAACATAGCCTTTTTGTCCCAAGCAAGTTGGGGTAGGCAAAGTTGTAGATAATAACTAGTACTCGGTATAAAAAATGAGCATTGAGCAAAAAGACCATAAATATAATAACTAGTACTTGTTCATGTGCACGTGCACAGATCAGGCAAACGAAACTACTATATGTTATGTATATTTATTATAATATTTAAATTATAAGTTAGATAGATTTGAAAAATTGATAATAGTAAAAATAAACTGTATAAAATATAAACTATCTAACTTATATATGAATTACTATATTAGTAGCTGAAAAATATTTCAATTAAGTAGCTAAAAATATTTCAATTATTTTTATTATTAATATAAAAATTGTTTATGTGATTTGGGGGTTTGATTATTTCGTTAAAATCAATTAGCCAACATTAAAGAAAATAGCTTAATGAGACGAAAAATAATATTGATTGTAAAATAAATATTTCGAAAAAAAAAAAATATTACAATAGAATTTTCTATAAGTATGCATGTGAATTTATAATTAGCTAGTATAAGTAGTAACTATTATAAAATAAAATATTAGAAAAAATATTATTAATTAGGTAAAATGTAACGGTTTTCTTCTACAATTAATTGAAAAAAGAGAAGGAAGTTATTTTTTTTTTTGTAATATTAATTAAATTGCCTACAATTAGATATATATTTGTATATTTGTACATTATGGTAGTGCTTATTATCACATCGCGTGGAGTTCCTTCAAATAAAATGCTAAAAAAATGGACCCTACTCATGTGAGAGTAAGTAAACCTTTACGTACATGTAAAATTATTGTATAAAAAATATAAAACGACATGGTTATGACTTATGAACATCAAGCTCTTCAACTTCTATTTCACATTATGTTTTCCATATGTAAATCCAAATACCATGTAATTCATTTTAAAGTTAATATTTTATCCCTAGACTTCAAACTCCACTAACTACATAGGAACTATATGTACATTAAGTAGTGAAACTTGGTGAGATAAAGAAGAAAAACTTACATCTGTAACATGTAAAGATCTGTCAGGACTCAGCTGCTGAGTTTCGGCAGTAGGGGCCGGTTCTATTAGTGAAAATTCCAGATTTTGACTAACCTGACATAAGATAGAAACATTGGAAAACTATAAGCACAAAAAATAGAAACATTTGAAAACTATAACCTTCACATATATCCAGTGAGATGACAAGGAATTTGATATGCAAGGACAACAATTGAAATATCACTTTGGAGTTGTCGCACATTGATTGATTAAATAGGGAAAATGAACAACAGTTGAAATATCACTTTGGAGCGTTGAAATATCACTTTGGAGTTGTCACACAATGATTGATTAATACGGGAAAATGAGTAAGTTCATAAGGCTAGTGACCTACTCCCATCACCAATTGGCTTTCAGAAGGAACCTCACTTAGAGTCACCCTCTAAAGATATGCTTACCCCTATGGGACCGCACCCCTTCCCCTGCACAGATAATTTCACAGCAACTAACTAAGCATGAGACGAAAATACCTAACCTAGCAAAAAGGCTTTCTGGGTTAAATACAACAACCAGATGACTGGCCCTATCCACACATCCTGAAATAACTTGGCAGATGTCATTAGGATATATAAGTAGGAGTGGTTAAAAGGAAAAATAAAAAGAAACCCTAGAGCAACCAACTAAAGAGTTGTAATTAATAACAGGACGGATATAAAGGATTCCCTATCTATTACAGGGAGGCAGTACCAACAAATTTGTTCAAAATCAAATTCTTCTAAATTATTTACTTCACATCTGACATCTTTTCAGCAAAACTGTCGATGTAATAGACATCTATCTAACCGGATACTCTGAAGCTGAAGGCCATTTATTGGTACATCTTCACCTTCACTGTATGTTTTGAACCCTATAGACCAACTCCAAATGGAACACTCCCTCTAAAATTCCTTCCTTTAGGCCCCAAATGCTATTCTAGCTAAAGTGTAAATAGATCCAAAAACACGGCTGAGAATCACAGGACAAAGCCAAGGCATTTGAAGTGTTGGATCATAATCGCTTCACAAATAAACAGTGCTGGAGTGGGACATCCCGCAGCCAATTAAGACGACTTTATTATCTTTACATCTTTGGGACAAAGATGGCTTCAGTGCCAACGCATGTAAGCCCCCTCACCTATTCAAGATCCTATTCAAAATCCAAAAGATCGAATAATGAACAAAATCTTAAAAGTGAAATTGCTTATTCCAACATTCTCTTCATGGGATGTATTTGTTAATATTGTTGTGTTAATGTAGGAGAACCCGAGTATGCAGTTAATTAAGATAATACAGCGGAAGCATACCCCAGATGGACATGTGTCATTCCTTCCAGGTTCAAATAGAGACGAGTAATATGCAGGATCGTATATTGAGCCTCCAATAGCATCATCACAACCCGAAGAAACTCGAACAATAGGAGTAGCAGGATTGATAAAACTATTTCTCAAATAGGCATCTGTATCTCTAGCACCACCATTATCTATGTAAGAAGAACCCAGTCTGTACATCTGAATCCATAGTAGTGATGATGATAGCCTCACCGAAAATCCAATGATTTGCATGACCAAGGTCAGCTTGACCAAAAAGCTCCCAAAAGCTCCATAAAATTCAGATGGAAAAATCCTGCATCCAAATATAAATAATTGTTAAAGCTCAGGAACAAAAATCATGAATGGAACACATTGCCCAAAGTCACACATTTATAGGAGTCGAAAAAATAAAAGTGCAAAAATAAATGTAATGGTGCTAGGGTTCTCTATTTGCTTCCCATTTATCGCAGGCAATACGTCAAATTACAACTCAATTATTTGATAAGGTGCATTTCTGACTGAGGGGTTAAAATGAGAAATTTCATGTAGAATTCAGATAATTGCATCAACATCATCCACATGAAAAGAAAAAAAAAAGGTGGTTCAATGTGGTTATTCCAATTTCCAACCGATAACATTTACATCAGAAATCACTTAAGCACAGTTAAAAGGTTTTCATATCCACCCGAGACAAAGTTTGACACATATCTGAGTTAACTATTGCCAGCAAAAAGTAGTAGTAAGGGATGCAAAAGCTTGCGAACATAACCAAAGGCGAGCTACATTATTGAATTTTCATGTCATTGAAGAATGTACCCTGAGGCTAAAGGATGTCACTTCCCAACCCACTCCACCACCATCAGTACGAACTGAAGTTCCCAATTTCCTCATTTTAATTTTTCCCTTCTCATTTGGGAACCTTAAGAATTTTCTGGACCATTGATCTCTTTTCTTTTCTTTTCTTTTCTTTTCTTTTCTTTTTTGTTTTTATTTGTTTGGCAATTTGCATTTTAGATTCGAGAAAAGCTATATTTCCAAATCCATAAATTTCCAATGACGGAGTGGCTGGAACAGTGTATTGGCTACTTATTTACACTTCTTTTTTTGGAGTTATGGCACTACGGTTCAGTTAACTGCGTATCTGCAGTGGCTCTGAACATATCAAGAAGTCCACTGGAATCAATAAACTAATTGGACAGTGACTGAATTCAAAGATTGTGGAAAAAACAATTAACCAAAATGGAATAAGCTTTGCCTCTGAATATAAAGATGTTACTGCAAAAGTTATGACAGTTAACCTTGCAAAAGAAACAACTCATCTAGTTACGTCGCAGACACTGAAGCAAAACTTTCTCCAGATACAATTGAAAAACTTCACTCAAATTCTATAATACAAAATTGAGATAACACTTGAAGGTACATCAACATTTGCTCAGATAGAACAAGGAATTCGAAAAGCTCTTTTACTAAAACCTAGGGTGTGAATAATTGTCCTTTGTTTTTTTCTTTTAATTTTTAGAGAGTATAATGTAAAATAAAGTAATTTTTCATAAATGAAAAGGGAACTGAATGTTGTAATAGGAAGTGGGATAAAAATATGATGTTAACCGTTGATGAGATAACTTTTTATTGATAAAAAGTGAGTGAATAAGATTGTAGATTAAAGTTAACAAACGGTGAATAGTGCATTTGCAATATAAATGCATGTTTAAAGTGGACTTGATGGGTTAATGTGAAATATAATTGGATGTAATGAATGAGTGTACAGTGTATGATGAATGAGTGCAGTGTCATTGTGTGTGAGTGCGTGTGTGTAAGTGATTTAACAAGCAACAGAAAGTTGGTAAAAGTGGAAAGAAAATGGGCAATAAGTGGAAATTTCATTCAAACACACAACTTTCACTTTGGATGTATGAGCACCAATATCGTTGCTCCTCTTGAAAACTTAAAAAGCAGAAAAGTACCAGCGACACGTAATTTTCTGGTCGTTGGTCGTTGTAACGATATTGTTCATTACGTGTCAAACAGGATATTACCCACTAAACCAAATCACAATGCAGTTCCCGCAGAGACGTAAACTTCAGTATCAAACATGATATCCAGAAAACTCTTACAATCAACTATATCATGGTGTCTGCCAATGAAATCAGATATAATTCAAAATTTTCATAAACACAGTAAATTGGACGTATCAAATACTTAGTGACAGGTACTCTAAACTACATTCCCACCTACCGTGTCCTCTTGTGAACAAAATATGGGTAGTTCTAGTTTTACTCTTTCAAAATGGTGTAATTAATGCAGGGCAGGAGCTAGGCAGCAGAGCAAAAAAAAACCGATAAAAACCAATCCAAAGGACCTTGCTCGTTATAACAAACACATAGGAATAGTGAATTAATATTGTAGAATTGCCTGAGAGGAGGATTAAAATTAGTACCAGATATGATGAGAGAAAATGAAGAACCATGAAAAGTCGAGGCAAATGGAACAGAAGAGAAGGAATGCGTATGTCCTAGCGAGGCTCTGGCTGCTGCTCTCAATGGCGACGAGCGCGAACAGCGAAATCCCCAAATCGACGAGCAAAACACCGTTGTAGATTGGGCCGAGCGATCCAACCAAGGCGCAGCCAATTTGGGCGTAGATCAGCCGTAGCGCGAGCCACTGGAGGTTGTCATAGTCCCGAATCCACGTATGTATAGCTCTCAACCTCAATCTAAAACCGCCGCCGCAAGGCATCCTACGCCAAACTCGCCGCCGCTGCAATTCTCTCTGGTGTAAGGACACGAATCTTCGATTCTGATGGGGTTGCGCCGAGTAAATTCATCCGAAAATGAGGCAAGGTTAAGGTGACGAAGGAGAAGAAACTAGTGCAGAGTGTGTTGGTCGAGTGGAGGTGGGTCTCTACTGCAGCATCAAAGATCAAACACTCGTTACCCTTTTTGAACTCCCAAAAACGCTTTTTGAATTAGCAGTTTTCTTTTCCCCTCGATTAAGCCTGCAGGTCGTGGAGGAAGTTACTTAATGGGGGCACAATTGCTTTAAGTTTTTAAAAATTTCGCTATTTGTTTTGGTAAAATTTAGAAATTGAAGGTTATTATTAGGGGTGAGCAGTACAATTTGGAGATCGACAAATTTTCAAAACCGTATCGAAGTTCGGATATTACTAAAATTTAATCTCCGAAACTGTACCAAAAAATTGATTCGGTTTGGTTTGGATATTTTCATTTTTCGGTTCGGTTCAGTTCGGTCTCGGGACTATCGGAACAGTTCGGTTCGGTTTGGTTCAGTTCGGATATTCAGAGATTTCTAATTATTTTTTAAATTTTTTTGAGTGGTCACCTAGTTGTATTTTAATTTTTATACTTTTTTTTAATTCAGTATTTATCAATACTTTATTATACTAAAGATTTATTCTTAAATCAACTGGTGAAATAACTCTAAATTATAGGTAAAACTTGTTTGTTAAAGATACAATTTGAAATTTAGATAAAACTTGTTTGTTAAAGAAACAATTTGACTGAATGAACTCAACGTGAGTTTTTTTAGTTATTAGGGTTAATCTAAAAAAAAGTGGTATATTTAGTTGTCAGTGGGATTTTGAGTTTATATTAGATAATATTCAAAATAAAATAATTAAAATTGATTGGATGTAAAAGTATGAGAAAAATAATAAGAAATGATGGTTAGTTAAAATTATGTGAGTGGATGAATAGTGAATTAAAGTTGATATGATATGTAAAATTGATTGGTTGTTATTATTTAATGATTGATTGTTATTTTTCAATTATATTAATAATATTGAAGAGAGTTGAGTTGAGTTAGATTTTGAGTAGAATTACTTTGGTTTGAGCGAATTCTTTAACAAACACACCCTAAGTTTGTGCAACTTACATTGAAAATTCAAAATTCAAACAAAATATGATATAGTTTTTTATTAAAGTAATATTTCTTTAACCTTCCATACAATGTTAGTTATAAGATAAATAAGACTAGTATCAAGAAATTTATGTAATGTTTAAATACTTTCTAAAAAAATATTACTTTAACCTTTCATACCATTTTAAATATATTTTTCTTAAACCAGGAAAATTCAATAGTAGATCTCAAGTATTACTAAGCATGAAATTTAAGTGAAGCTTAATTATTATAACTATATTTTATTTTCATTTAATTTTTTTTCAAATTATATAAAATCAAAGTTGACATAAAATATATTAATATCACACATCCATTTTTACAATTCGGTTCTTAATTTCGGTTCTTCGGTTCGGTACGGTACGGAACGGTTCGGACCGGTTCTCGGTATGAATATTTGTGAAATCTCCAAAATCGTACCAATTATTTTTCGGTTCGATTCAGTTCAGAAAAAGTCAAACGATCAAAAGTTATTTTTCGGAATAGTTTGGAATTCTTCGAGTCTCATGCTCAGCCCTAGTTATTACTTATTATTAATCAATATGTTATATCAATAAGTTATAATATGCATAAATTTGTTAAGTAATTATAAAATATTCTTCATGAAAAAATTACACATTATTAAAATCTGTTGTTTTTCCATGCAAAATCATTTAGCATTTGGCAACTATAGGCCAATATTTATCAAGATTGTTCTTCACTTGGTAATTGCGAAGAGCATAGGCACCTCATTCCTCAAATTCTTTGTTTGATTTTTGGAATGTTAACACCTCAAAATATAATTATAGTAAAAGTATATATTATTGAGATAAATACTAAATGTATGATTGGTTGGCAAAGGGTTATTGGGCTTGATATAATCATCTTGATTTTATCAAGGCTATCTCACAATTTACCTAGCCCATTAATTTATTTGGTTGAAGAATGATAATTGTAAGCTTTAAGACTAGATTGCTTGTTTGCCCTTCATTTACAATTAAATTTTCGATTATTTCCCAATGGACAATCTAGAAATCCACGCTCAGCTTCTTGTCAATGCTTGAGAAGGTTTTATAAAATGTCTTGAAGTGCCTGTAAGCAATTTCCACGTCTTCTTCCCCACAAACTGCCCTCACATTGCAAATTGAAAGATGGATAATGACCCTAAAACACAAATTAACCGAATCCACCATTATTTTTCTCCTAAATTTGGAGGCGATGGACGACTTCCGGCTAGGGGAGGTTGAGGTCGTCGATGTTGTGCTGCCTGGCGAGGGATTTGGAGGAGGGTTTGAGCTTTGATTTGGAAATTTTTGGCTTCAAGTTAGAGTTGGAGGAGGACGAGGCATGGTGTTTTGCAGATCGACGATGGGATTGCTTCTGGCAGCGGAGGGATTTGGCATCGGCCTCGACCTCGCGTTTCTCCTCGTCGCGGAGGTGCAGGAGGCCCTCCGATCTCAGAGCGGCTTAAATAATTTCTCGTCGCCAACGTCCTCCGCGATGCTCGGCCACTTTTTTCGAAGCTCCTACTTAAGGATGTCCATGGTTGTTGATGCGGTACTTGTTGGCAGGAGGGTTTTGATGCAGAGTTTTTTTTTTTTCATTGATTTAGGGGCAGGGTATGTGGAGGAAGGAGGGTGAGGCTGTTTTGGAAAATTGAAAAGTAAAATTATGATATATTATACGGAAAATGCTAAGGTCCCGTTACGGAACCATTCCGTTGGGGTTTGTAACCGTTAGATCAACTATCCCCGACGGTTACAAGATGATCTAACGGTTACAAATCTCGACGGAATAGTGCCGTAACGGGACTGTAGCATTTCCCTATATTATACATCCCACGAAAGAGGTGGTATACATAATACTGAAAATTGTTAATAATTTCGCGGACAATGGCTTATTTATTGGAACCAAACGAAAGAGGCGGTATACATAATACTGAAAATTGTTAATAATTTAGCGGACAATGGCTTATTTATTGGAACCAAACATGATAATATGAAGGATATAGTATAAAATGGCTTGATATCAAGCCCAATCCATCCAACCAATCACACCCTAAAGATAAGATTTATTGGGTGTAGCTTAATTTTATATAGAATAACTTGAATTTTGAGTATATCTTTTTTATTTTTTCAATCATTCTCATTTTTTAACCAAATTCATAGCAATATCTAGAACATTTTTGTTTTTTGTTATATTTTAACAGAGATTGGAACTTCGATTGTATCTTTTGTAAAACAATATTTACAATATTAATTACTTTTAAAAAAATTGATATTTTATCATTTGTACCTCAAAACTAACTAAATGAATCGGATGACATGTAAATCACATTTTTATAAGGAAAAAAATGTTTCATAAATAAATTGATTTGTGTATTGCTAAATTTCATTTTGCATTGATCTTGTGTATATCTCTTTTGAGTAAGACAATCATTTTATTTATTTATTTCTTTATTATTATTATTATTATTATTATTATTATTATTATTATTATTATTATTATTATTATTATTCTTGGATTTATAATGTATAACTTTTACACGTGATAAATAAGGATGTGGAAATCGTATCTTTTATATATGAAGAATAAGTTTGAATGCTAATCGTGTATCTTGAAAATTTGAATGTTATTTATTAAAAAAAAATATTACGTTTTACATGAAAAGGATTGAACTATTGTAGTAATTTATATTGCCCTTTAATAGCTTATTTTATAAAAAAAAAATTGTAAAAATAAAATTAAAAATATAACATTTCCAATTCCATTGCAGTTTTATTAGAAATATTTTTGGTTTGTGAAAATGATAATTTTATTTATGTTATGTCAATTAAGTTGCATATGTATCACTTGTTTCAGAAATTAAAATCCTCGTAGTTCTCTTACTTTACTTTATTTCGGAGGCTCCAATAGTACTAGCAGTACTAGTAAAATCCAGTGTCTCTTCTTCGTCATCCTCTTCGGCACTAAGCATAGCCGTTTGTGCCTTCATTTCGGCCTTCTTCCAGTATCTCAGCAACATTTGAGCCTCCAGATTTTGTGGTGTCAACCTCGACCGTCGTGCGTCCAATGTATATCCTCTCTCACTAAATGTTTTTTCAACCGCCGTTGTTGAGGCCGGGACAACGAAAATATATTCAGCTACCAAGCATGGAATAGGAGAAATGGTACTCATATTTGACCACCAATTAAAGACGTCAAATTTTTGTGGCAGACCTTGTTCATGAGCAATCATAAGTATCAAATTCGAGATGAGGTAATGATCGAACTCACTGTATCAAGTCTCCTTTCCACTTTGGATCTTAGAATTTTAGTAGGGATTAAAATTGTCGTCCCACCGTTCAGGGGCGGAGCCTTATAGGGCCCAGTGTGGACCTAGGCCCACATTGAAAAAAAATACTATCTTATATACCCTACTCAAAAAATAGTTTAATGCCAAATTAATAATAATAATAACAACAATGGGAACACAAAGAAGAGAAAAAAAGGGGATAATGAGAAAAAAAAAACATTGTTCTTGTTTATTTTGGTGAAAATAAATCTAGTCTCTTTTTTATTAGATTTGATATAAATACTAAAAATTTAAACTTGTAGTTAATTGAATGTTGTTTCTTAAAATACTATTAACATATTTAAATTGTGTGTGATTGATAACGTGTAGTAGTGCTCTTAAAAGTTTGATATATTAGATAAAGCATTTTATACATTATAATTTATTTTTTATATCCAATATGGAGAAATATTTTTATAAATAATCTTGACAAAAAAGTGCATGTGAAAATACTTTTAAAATTAGCTACTTTTACTCCAAATATACTTGGGTTAATTATCACATTGCTAGGCCGAAAGAAAATGTAAAAACCTTATTGTAGAGTAATACCAAGCTATGAAAAATCATAAGAATTCTATTAATGTCTATTTTCGATTATACTTTTCTATGATATATTATATTTGTTTTCTAGAAACAAGTAGGCCCACACTCATATTATGAGCTAGATCCGCCCCTGCCACCGTTCACCAAAGTTTTTGACTTCCTACATCGGTTGTCTCCATTGTTCAGAAGGAGAAGCCATGGGAATGAAATGACATTGGATTTTCTCCAAGTCCGCTTGTTGTTTTCCTAAACAATTCATAGAATAAAAGTCTTGCTTTCTCGATGAGGTATCGTGAGTTAGGTCTTACACTGATAGTCCAGACATCAGTTGGAAGTGGGAGTTGATATATAATATCATGATATGTGTGAACTTGGTTGAGCAAGCCATTTTCATTAATGACGGATCTAACAAAGATGCAACTAAAAATGTATTGAGAAAAAAAATAATAATAATATTTTAACTATTTTCTTAGCATATCTCTTACAAGTTTGTTGTGTTTGTCAGGATCACTTACAAAAATATCTCTAAAATCCCACATTACGATTACAAATATTTTTCTCTAAAAATATTGATCGTCTCAAAGACCCGTTCCGGGTGACCTTGACCTGACCCAACTGTTAAAAAAATTATATTTTTGTGGCTCAGAGGCAGCCTGATCAAACTACGGCGACCTTAACATGACCCAACTGTTAAAAAATTTATATTTATGTGGCTTAGAGGCAGCCTGATCAAACTATGACGATCTTGACCTGACCCAACTGTTAAAAAGTTTATATTTATGTGGCCCAGAGGTAGTCTGATCAAACTACAGCCTCGTTCAAGGCCTGTCGACTACTGGCTGTTTCAGGGTCGGTTTGGGCCAAACCGACAGTCGGGTAGTTCATGGTTTCCCCATTTTCCTTTCTTCTTTTTAATTGATTAATCAATACATTTATTATTTTTTTAATTACTTATTATTCCACTAAATAATACTGAATATGTAAACCGAGGCCCAAAGGAAAGACCAAAAAATAAAGGGTATTACTATTTACCGCCTCCTATTACTAGTCACCGCCCCCCTTGGACGATTTAGCCCTCCTCATTTTTTCTCTCCATCAAAATGTCTGCTTCATCATAAGTAATATTTTTTTTTGTTCCGCCCTACCGGCGAAACCGTACGTCACCGGTTGTGTCCAACCGACCAAACCGGACGGCCTTAATGGCGTCCTGTCGGTTCGGCCAGACAATACCGGCGACGTGCGGTAATCAGGGCCGTACGGACCAATTGGTGTCTGAACAGACTGGTCGTACGACCCAATTGGTGTCCGGCGGCGACGGCCGGACAGAACCCGGTCCGTCCGGTCCGACCGGCCGGACACCACTATTTTTTTTTAAATTTATTATTATTATTTTAAAATAATATTATTAGAATTTATTTTGTTATAGAAATTATATGTTATAAATTTGAAATAATTATGTTATAAATTAGACGTTAGATATTATCGCTTTAGTAATCTGTCGGTAGAAGCGATTCTCTCAGGTGAGAGCGATTTCTTGATTCTCTCAGGTGGGAGCTTTCCATTTCCGTAGCCTTCGATTCTTACCTTCTATTTTCAGATCATATTCCGTCTCCTGATTTCCGTTTGTCTCCTCTGTTATCATCGTGCCATTTTTTTCCACTCATTTGCCCTCTGCTCTCAGTTACCCTAGCTAGGGTTCTGAATTTAATGGCTAGCAATCACGAAAATGAATTGTCCAACCAATTAAGGGTCTTTTTTCTCTCAGAACGAGAAGCTACCTATATCGACATTGCCAATGATGACATCAAGCTGAACGCGGATGAATGCAACAGAAGTCTTTTTGGCAAAATTATGGGAGACAGAGTAGCTAGTTGGATAGGCATTAAAAGAACAATGACAAATATTTGGAGGCTTAATCAGTCTATGGAAATCAAAGAACTCAGTGACAATTATTTTCAGTTTATTTTTCAAACCAAAGAGGACTTGTTAAATGTGGCCAACGACATCAATTGGAGCTTTGAGAATCAGTATCTCATACTCAAGGAATGGAGGAAGGGAATCTCAGCCAAGCATCCTTGTTTCCAGGAACTTAACATTTGGGTTCAGGTAACTAATGTTCCTCTGAATTGGCTAAGTCCTGAGGTGGGGCTAAAAATTGGTAAAGTCTTCAAAGCTGTGAAGAATGTGGTTTTGATTAATGCTGGTAACCATGGTGGGAAAATTCTAAGGCTTCTTGTGACTCTCAATTTAGAAGAGCCTCTCCCAAGGGTAGCTAACATAAGACTGGGTGAAGAATCAGCACTAGTAGGATTTAAATATGAAAAATTGTTGAACTTATGTCACTATTGTTGACTGATTGGCCATCTAGACAGAACCTGTGCCAAGAGAATAGCAGACATTGATAACAACTCTCTTAAAGAAGGACAATATGGTGACTTCATGAAGGTCACAGATGGAACGAGACATTATGAACCCATCCCTACTTGTTCACGAGGATCACCTCCAACACAGTCCCCCAATGTTCAGGAACAAGACTCACCATCCAAAACCACCTCTCATCAAGCAGAGACAAGTCAACAACTCATACAACTTCCAGTAGATTCCCAATCCACCTCTAAGGATATTGCTCATGAATCTCTGGCTTAAGCAACTCAACTATCAAATCCCCAGGATCATATTAAAGACTCATGCATCCACACCCAAGAACACAACAAAGCTATGGAAGTGGAACAAGCCATTCAAACCACATCTCACATTTTCAAGAGAATTCACTCATCTCTGACATCCAGTGCAGTCACTCCTCTGAGAACATAGAAGAGAGATAAAAGCAAAGATGGAAGATTGCTAAGGGAATCCAACAATCATGATATCATCAATGCTCACTCAACCCTGAAAAGAATTAGAGACAATGAGGTGGTAGATGACAACCAGTCACCCTCTCAGCAGGAATCTTTGCAGCACACAACTGCTAAAAAGAAGAGCAAGCAACAAAATGACAAGGTGGAGGTTGCCAGCCTGGAGTGGCACCACCCTGAACAATGCTAGCTGTGGTGTGGAATTGTAGAGGGCTGGGTGGGCCCTCTACAATTTCTCAAATGCAAGAGCTTATAAAAACTCACCATCCAAATTTTCTCTTCCTTTCTGAGACAAAAAAAAAAATCGTTTGTAAAATCTATTGGCTGCAAACTTGGTTATGTAGATAGATTAGAAATAGGTAATCCTTCAGGTCTCAGTGGGGGGTTAGCTTTGTTTTGGGCTAATATTGTTATACATCAAATTATTAGTAAAGACTTCTTCATTGCTGTTCACTTTTCCCTTCTTTCTAGTCAACCCCAATGGGGAGTTTTTGTCTAATTAAGCACTTGCAGACTCACCAGATCTGTTCAATGGGAGGAGCTATTATCAGAGAAGAATATGTGGGGCACCAATTGGTTCTCCATTGGTGATTGGAATGATATATGCTCAGATTCTAAGAAGTTGGGTGGCACTTATAGGAGTCCAGCTAGTTGCCATGCTTTCAATTCTTTCATAGCTGACATGGAAATGGATGAGATCAGGATGCAAGGACACCCCTTCACATAGTGCAACAATAGAGCTAACTCAGAGATGGTAGAAGAATAGCTTGATATAGCATTTGGCTCTCTGGAGTGGCATCAAACTTATCCCAATGCTAAGGTTATCAACATCATGAGAAGTTCCTCTGATCACTCTGCTCTGCTGTTAGATATGGGATTGCCCAAGCTCAAAAGGCAATCCAGGTTCCATTTTGATAAAAGATGGATTGGTATAGAAGGATTTGAAGAAACAGTCACCAAGGTCTGGCAAATTCCAGTGACAGGCACTCATTTCTTTCAGCTCAAGGAGAAAATTAAACACACTAGGATTGCTTTGTTAATCTGGACTTTATCATTTCAGTCTCAAAACCAGGCTCTCATAGCTACTCTGACTCAGGAGATGGAAAATCTTAACAATGACAAAACTGGTGACAACTGGGACAAGTGGGAGGCTACAAAAAGAGCACTCAACAAAGCTCATCTTCAGGAGGAGCTTTTTTGGCAGCAGAAGTCTAGGCTGAGATGGCTTAAGGAAGGTGATGCTAACACATTTTTCCACACAATCACACTGCAGAGAAGAAGACACAATGCTATAACTAGACTCCTTACATCTCAAGGCAGGATTCTTTCTTCTCAAGTGGACATGGAAAGGCATATCTCTGAATTTTATTCCCACCTTTTCTCTTCTGAGGTTAACTGGGATGGAGACTCCATTCTCCACCTCATTCTTCAATCAATAACTGAAGATATGAACTCAGCTCTTCTGAAGCCAGTTACTGAGGAGGAAGTTAAATATGCCTTATTCCACTTGCCATCTGACAAAGCACCAGGTGAAGATGGGATGACCTCTACCTTTTACCAACACTTTTGGAAGCTAATCAAACAGGACCTTTTCTCTGCCATTCTCACTTTCTTCAACTCAGGCCAGCTCCTTAGATACTGGAACCACACCATCTTATCTCTTATTCCTAAGAATTCAAATCCAGAAACTCTTGTTCAGTTTAGACCAATCAGTTTGTGCACAGTGATATACAAGATCATTTCTAAAATCCTTGCTCAGGGATTGAAAGGTTGTTTAAGCTCTTGTATTAGTGTCTATCAATTTGCATTCATTGAAGGAAGGCAACTTATGGACAATGTCATCATAGCTCATGAAGCCTTCCATTGTTTAAATAGACACTCCACAGGTAGCAATTTCTTCATGCCTCTTAAACTTGATTTAATTAAAGCCTTTGACAGAGTTGAGTGTTTGAGTGTGAAGAAGATCATGCTGCAGATGGGCTTCCATAGAGACTTTGTTCAGATGATCATGGTCTGTATCTCAACTGCCACTTTCTCTTTCAAACTTAATGGTTCTGTTAATGGCTTTGTTACTCCTTCCAGAGGAATTAGGCAAGGGGATCCCTTATCCCCTTACCTTTTTATTATTGTAGCTGAACTTCTCACAACTTTGATCATGCAATCAGTTGAAAATGGATCTCTTTGAGGTATCAAATTGTCAAAGAATGGTCCCATGTTAACTCACCTCCTGTTTGGAGATGATTCTTTGTTTTTTTGCAAGGCAGACAATGACCAGGCATCTGTGCTTATGACCATTCTAGAGAAATATAAGCTTTTCACAGGGCAATCTGTCAATCTGCAGAAATCTGCTATCTTTTTTAGTAGGAATACTCCCCAACCTCTTCAATCCTCTATCTGCTCTGGTCTTAATGGGATTGTTTGCCACAGATCTACCAAGTACCTTGGTCTGTCCCTGGGGATAGGCAGATCAAAGAAAGAGGTTCTTGATTATGTGTTGAACTCTATCAGAAACAATCTGCAAGGATGGCAAACTAAATTTCTTAGCCCTGCAGGTAAAGAGGTCCTTCTTAAAGCAGTGATCCAAGCCTTGCCTATTTTCTCTATGTCCTACCTCAAACTTCCTCAAGCTATCTGCTCTGAAATTTCCAAGCTCTGTGCTATGTTTTGGTGGAACATATGAGATCTTCAGTCTAGTGGTATTCATTGGAAGAAACGGTGTTTTTTGTCTTTACCTAAGGGAGAGGGGGGACTGGGTTTCTTGGATCTACAAATGTTCAATCAAGCCCTCTTGTGCAAGCAACTATGGAGAATTTCCTCTAACCCTGATCTTCTGGTCAGTAGAATCCTCAAGGACAGATACTTTCCAACAATTTCTATTACTCAAGCTGTTAAAACTCAGAGAGGATCTAGGATGTGGAATTGTTGGCTTGATGTGATGCCTTTCTTCTCTAAATGGTTCAGGGGTATGAACACTAAAATCTCAGCAGCAAATTGGGTGCCTTCTCTCCAGTAATCTCCATCTCTCTTACCAATTGCTAGAGACCATCTCATATGGGTTAAGGATCTCCTTCTTCCTGATGGTTATTCTTGGAATGAATGGTTAGTAAGGCAGGTTTTTAACCCTCTGGAAAGTGCAGCAATTCTGAATATCAACTCTCTTCACCCCAACAGAAATGACAGGTTCTATTGGGGCTTGGATAAAAAAGGCATTTTCTCTGTCTCCAGTGCATACACCTCTCTATCAAAGCTTAAGCTGCATCAGTTGGACATCCCTGAGAGCAGCTCTTCCTCCTCTATGTGCAAATCCATCCAGTTCAGACATTGGAAGTTGAAGGTTGCTGGTAAGTTAAAGCACTTCATCTGGAAATGCATTAATGGTGCCTTACCTGCTGTTGTTTCTCTTAGGAAGAGGAGAGTGGATATTGATCCTATTTTCTCCATATGTGGTGACTGCCTAGAAACCATTAAACATATTCTTCTCTCTTGTCCAAGGGCCTGCAAGACCTGGGATATTTCCCCTGTGAGATGGGATAGCATATCAAGCTGCAAGGACTCCTTCAAGGTATGGTGGTATCATCTTTGTTCTATTGATCACTCCGAAGTTGTCGAGGATAGAGTCCAATTATCAACATACATTCTTTGGTGGCTTTGGAAATCAAAAAATCTTTGGATATTTCAAAGAACTCTTATGCCTGAGGAGAAGTTGCTGAAGACTGCCCATGCAGATTGGACACAATTTGCCTCAGTTCACTGATGTTGGTTTAGTTTTGCTTTTTCTGTTTTGTTTGGGGAGTCTGCTTATCCTTCTAGGCTTTTAGCAGTAGAGGATAGTAGCCTCCTTTCTTGTGTTTGGATTTTTAGTTCTCTGTGGTGCTTCCTCTTGTTGAGGCTCTAGACCACCTTTGGGTGTGTCTCTCATTTTTTCATTTGCCGAGTTTTTGATTGTGTATTTACTCTGTATTCGGACTTTGTCCCCTTTGAGTTTTATGACAGCTTCCCTGTCATTTTGGAAAAAAACAAGATATTATCGCTTTAGGAATTAGAAATTATTATGTTATCGATTTGAAATAATTATGTTATAAATTAGACGTTAGATATTATCCTGTTAGTAGTTAGAAATTAACTAGATTTGTTTATCTATAAATTGAATGTTAGATATTATCGCGTTAGGAAGTAGAAATTATTATGTTGTACAATTGAAATAATTATGTTATAAATTGGACGTTAGATATTATCGCTTTAGGAATTAGAAATTATTATGTTATAGATTCGAAATAATTATGTTATAAATTGGACGTTAGATATTATCCTGTTAGGAGTTAGAAATTAATTAGATTTGTTTATCTATAAATTCATTAAATTGGACGTTAGATATTAGCATGTTAGGAAGTAGAAATTATTATGTTGTACAATCGAAATAATTATGTTATAAATTGGACTTTAGATATTATCGTGTTAGGAGTTAAAAATTATTATGTTATAAGTTGGACGTTAGATATTATCCTGTTAGGAGTAAGAAATTAATTAGATTTGTTTATCTATAAATTGGACGTTAGATATTTTCGCATTAGGAAGTAGAAATTATTATGTTGTACAATCGAAATAATTATATTATAAATTGGACTTTAGATATTATCGTCTTAGGTGTTAGAAATTATTATGTTATAAGTTGAACATTATATATTATCGCGTTAGCAATTAAAAATTATTATGTTATAGTTTCGAAATAATTATGTTATAAATTGTACGTTAGATATTATCCTGTTAGGATTTAGAAATTAATTAGATCTGTTTATCTATAAAATGGACGTTAGATATTATCGCGTTAGGAAATAGAAATTATTATGTTGTACAATCGAAATAATTATGTTATAAATTGGACGTTAGATATTACCGTGTTAGGAGTTGTAAAAAATTATTATGTTATAGATTACAATTTAACATGTTTTGAAATCATAAATATTGTAATATATTGCAGGTGTCATTGGAAGATTAATATATGGTATTGATTACAGTTCCACTTTCGATACAACGACATTCATTATTAGTGATCATGTCGCGATTAATGATGCAAAAAGTACGGCACTTCTGGCAGGTTTCGATTTGATTATTTCGAAACACACAAAAGGAGGAAGGTTGAAGATCTTGAAGTGCAAACGAGGCGAACGTTATAGAGGCAAGAACGTAGATGTTGCTTCTAGAAGTTCGAAAACCAACAAGTGTCAGTGCCCTTTTGAGATAAGATTAAAGCGGATGCCCGGAATGCAATTCTGGATGATCCACAAGTGTCAAAACAAAGAGAAGGGCTTCCACAATCATTCATTAGCTGTGTATCCCGAGGGCCATCGACAGTCGAGCGGCATCAACCAGTCATCAAAAATATTATTCGTGATATGATTGCTGCGCAGGCGAGACCAGCAAATAATTTGGCCACTGTCCAGGAAAAAAATCCAGGAAATCACGCTACTGTGCGACATATATATAACAATAGAGACATGTTGCACAAGGAAAGTTTTGAGGGTAGAGACGTTACTACCCAGCTTCTACATTTGGCTAGGAGCAGCAGCTATATAGTTTATACAGATGTCGATCCGAACACAACTGCCTTGACACACATATTAATGGCCCATCCTGATTCAGTCAGACTATTCCGGACATATTATTTGTATGTCGGCATAGATTCCACCTACAAAACCAACAGGTGTGTTAATTTATAAATACGTTATTTGTATGAATTTAAACTAATATGTTCGATTAAAATTTAATGTGATTATATTTTTTGTCTTTTGGTCTCATTTGCACAGGTACAAGATGCCGTTGGTCGAGATGATTGACATGACTCCGTGCAACAATAACTTTTTGATTGTGTACGCACTCATGAAGGACGAGAAAGAGGTCAGTTATGATTGGAAGCTGAGACTTTTGATAGGCTCTAAGGTAAGAATAAAATATTTATTTAATTAGTAATAAAAGTATTTTGTGCAATATAGTAAAAATATTTTCAGCAATTTTTGCTCTCTCTCATTAATATTTTTGCATCCGTCGCTGCTCAGGTACATCCTAATGCGGTTGTCACTGACAGCGAGTTGTTCTTAATGACTCCTATTAGGATGAACTTTCCCCAGTCTGCCCACTTACTCTGCACGTGGCACATCAACAAGGATGTGGAAGACGGAGTATACATGCTGCTTGGAAAAATAAAAAATTAGCTCAGAGTTTCTTGCGCGGTAGGTGGAAGGCGATTGTCGATGCCAGTACGGTTGATGAGTACGACGTTGTCGTAGCTCAATTGCGTGTCAAATACCGGAATCATTCAGAAGTGTTACAATATGTCGAGCAGACATGGTTAGTCCATAAGGAGAAGTTTGTGAAAGCTTGGACTATTCGGGTAACACATTTTGGCAACACAACTTCATGTAGGGTAGAGAGTGCACACTTTGTGTTGAAGCAGTGACTTCACACATCGACCAGCGCGCTCGATACAGTGTGGCAGAAGATTGATGCGGAGATCAAGTCCCAGATGACTGGAATAAGGTACATTCCTTATTTTTAACTGTGTTATTTCGTTTCAGTACATATATTAGAATTCTGGGTATTTCGTTTTATTTATAAAAATAAATATAATTAAAAAAAAGCCGACCAAAATGTAATATATAAAAATATATTGTGTTTAATATTTATATATTATTAATATAAACAAACACTATTATTAAAATTAAACAATAATAAGTACTGAATATATTGATAAATGCACAATATTGTTATTACTACATTAACTATAATATAATGTTTTGTAATATATTACCAGGACAACGCTTGAGTCTTCGAGACTTAGGAGGTATATGAGGTTTAAGGGATTCCTTTTCGCGTGCTTGGCGCTGAGGGTCTCGCATTACTGTCTGGACATATTGAACTCTGAGCTGACGAGGATGCGAGACTTGAGCTATGAAGTTTACGAGTGTTGCGGTTGTGTATTGCTTGCCACTCATGGAATTCCTTGTGCATGTACGCTTCGTACGACATCTGATGCTGACCTTTCGATTTAATTGAATGATATCCACGAGTTCTAGAGGACACTAGAGATGTTACAACCACGTAATTTAAAGTTAATGTTTCATTTACAATTTTCTACTTTCTGATTCATTGTTAATTACAAATTAAAGTACATTACGTTGTTAAATTCATTGAATTTTTTTACCGTATACTTGTAGGGACAAATCACCAGAGGCAGGATAACCAGAGGCAGGATAACCAGAGTGCATGGACAGATGTTGATGTACTTCGTACGTTTGTCCAAGAGGTTGAAATGGGCGATACTGCAATGATACGCTACATGAATCACCTCATGTACGCTCAGCTTTACCCGGCGGAGCAACAAGCTTATGCAGAACCTGAGGTTAAGGAAAATATGCGAGGTCATCTCAAGAAAACCGATTCAACTAAGCGTAAACCATCACGCTGGGTATACAAGGATAATTCGAGATGTCGTCCGATGGGCCGTACAAGCACTTCTTCGCGCAGATCGACGAACACTTCTTCACGTTGAACGACAAACACTTCTTTGCGTGGACCCACAAGCAGCCAGTCTTCTCAACCGTCACAAGAGACACCACAAGGTGACATATTTTTTTTTATACAATTGAACATTAATTAAAGTGTTAATATAAATTATATCATATAAATTGTGACGTGAAATTATTATGATGTTTCAGTTGGTACGTCGACAGATATATTTGGTTTTGAATACCGGTTAGTATTCCCTGGCATATGCTCGAGAGTGTAGTGAGCTACTTGAATGTGAAAGCAGATGGTAAATGTGGATTTCGGGTTATAGCGAGTTACATTTACGGGGACCAGGAGATGTGGCAACTCGTACGAGAGAACCTTGTCAATGAGATTTACAGCCACCGTGAGTTATACGAGTATATCTATTTCAGGGATATCGACACCAATCTCGGTCGAATAAGGTGGGACGGGGGCCCTTGTGGCCGATATCACTGGATGGATACTCCACTCGACCTCTTCCCTGTGGCAACTCTATTTACGGTTGTCATTTTCTTATGCTCTGGTCTTGATGGAAAATAGTGCAATCAGTTAAGTTGCATAGTATTACCGCTCTCTGTACCATCAACGGCTACACGACCATGACGTGAGATTGAGATATGTCATCTTGGTTGCTACGCACACTACATTCGTGTAGATTTGACTCCTGATTGTCCATTACCGCCTATTCATACTTTCTGGTTCAGGTACCAAACTGATTCGGTTCAGGGTTGGGAGGATCACTACCAGCGTATGTTGCAATTGTGGTTTGACGAACAAAATATTTCTTGATGAATAAAAGACGAATATTATTCGGTTGTCGTTATTTTTATAGTTATAGAATATTTAAGTTCAAAAGTAGTATAACAAAACTAAGAAATGCATAAATTTTGAAACAAAAAAAATGGTTTCATTCTTTCCACACGAGTCGTGTAGATGAGTCACATGACTCGTGTGATGCCACACGACTCGTGTGACTCATCAACACGACTCGTGTGGTTCTGCCAATTTTTGTTAAATTGCTTCGAGATTTCCACACGAGTCGTGTGGATAAGTCACACGACTCGTGTGACTCATCCACACGACCCATGTGGAGTAGCCGAACCATATATTTTTTACGCCGTTTCACATTGATTATGTCAAACAATATTGTCATGGAATATTTGAGTTCAAATAATATAGTCTATAAAAAAAAAATGCACACCAATCTCATTAACATTTTACACTAAAAAGAAAACATTTCATTACATAATTTTTTTGACTTGGCGTAATCAATCTTAAATTTAGCCAATTTGCCTGCGTACCGCTGCGCCAGCACAGGATCATAACCTGTAAAATCCCGTAAGGAGTTTGAAAAAATGGTGGCAAGACATTACAAAAAATGGAAAGAAAATAAGATATGATAAATATTTATACAAAAATAAAATTATTGTAATCAAATAACATCTACAATTTAGCATGATACTTACATAGTCGTTGTTGGCACGCGTAGGGACCTCGTTCTGGTCCGGCAGATTCTCGGCCAAACATTTAGGATGGGAAACCCGACGGTACCACTGCATGTACTCCAGTCGCCTCTGTTCGATCATCTGTGCTGACCTTATACAGACTGGAGCTGACGGTATGCGATACCGGGAACTGGTCCCACATAGATACTACAGTGACATCAGAATGCTCAACCTTGTAGAGTCTCGACTCCCAAAGACGATTGGCATCGATTAGCGTGAACATAGGGAGAGGGGCTGTCTGGACATACCCCAACTGCCGCAGAAACCGCACAGGAAAGTACGACTCGACGATATCGCAGTACCGATTTAACCTGCAATAAAGAGTCCTCGGCTCTATCTCATGTGGGCTAGAGGTGCCGTATGGCAACCATTGCACCTGTTCACAATTGCATAAAAGTATTTATAAAAAAATATTTATATTATTTTAAATAACGAGTAACCAAATTTAAATAAAATAACTTTACGTACATAAAATCGGAGGCAGTGAGACTGTCAAGTCTCCGAGGATGGCTGTGAGTCGCTCTTCCTTCCTCTGACCCGCCGCTGGGCTCCACATCCAAGATCGTGCGGAGTCGTTAGGACCGAGGGGTAGACGCCCCCTGTGGTCGAAAATCGGGGAAATATTCGTAAATCTCAGACAACATAAGTGTCAAGCAGCCAGAAAGCTGTCTGGAGTCTCCTCTGCTGGCAATACCTAACTGTCGATACAAGCATGCCAGCGTAGCCGATCCCCATGAGTAACCCTCAACGGAATCCACGTCGTCAAGCACCTCAGCTAGGAGCTTGGGAGTCACTCTACTACCACTCTTGTCACCGAACAAGGTGGTAGACAACAACACCCAAATCCAGGCACCAGCCTCATCCAACGCCAACTGGTCTGTACCCCTGAATTTCTCCACAACGGAGCCTTCTTCCACAGAACCGCGCTGCCAGAACGTCCCAACGAGGTCAGCCTTGCTGACCGAAAGTATATCCATGCAGTAAGCCGGACAGGCCTCTGTATCCTGCTCCTCAACGACCATGGATCCCTCAACAGGAATGTCCACAATGGCCCGGACATCGTGCAGCATAATGTTTATTTCACCAAAAGGCAGGTGAAACGAGTTAGTATCCGGCTGCCATCGCACCACAAATGCAGTAAGCAGTGGAGTGTCCAAGTGGGCGTGGATGGAGTCTGCCAGATGTGACAGTCCGGTGTCCTTGATCAGATCAAGTGCCTCGGAAGACATATCACCTCGCCAATCTTTTAAATTACCAAACGCTTGCACTCTGTTATGGCATTTCAGTAAGCCTCGGAACTCTCTATTCCACAACTGGGAGGCTACGTGCCCTAGAAAGCTAGGGATCACACTGCCATCCATGGGCCCACCTCCCACTGTACCTCTAACGATCCAGTCTGCCTCACGATTAGTCCTAAATCGTTTTCTAGTACCTGCATTAGAATAGAACATAATGTCACTAACAATATCGATAAATTGTTATAATTAAGTCCAAATATTTAATGTTAAACAACAATAAATACGTAAATTATTTACCTGAGGATCAAGTGCTAGCAAAACGCCCCCAGCCTGTCGTGGAGGAGCAGGCCGAATAGGCCGTGAAGGAGCCGCAGGCCGCATAGGAAACGTAGCCTGTGTATGAATATCGTCATCGTCCTCATCATATGAAGATGCCGACTCGTCATAATCCTCCTCCATCTGGGCTACCGACTCATCAACATAATATTCCTGCTGACCGTACGGTGCTGGTGCAAGGGGTATCGAATTGCATGTCTGGCCAGCAAAAACATATCTATGATGACTGTGATCGTACAGTGGTGGTGCACCATACCCCTGCTGACCACCTGATAGTGGTGGTGCACCATATCCATGCTGACCAACTGATAATGGTGGTGCACCATATCCCTGCTGACCAACCGGTACTGGTGGTGTACTATATCCCCTCTGACCAATTGGTAGAGGTGAGCCACCATATCCCTGCTGACCAACCAGTAGTGGTGGTACCTGGAGTCTCGAACTGCCTGCCTGGCCAGTCTGTACCATCCGAGCCTCTTCGATCATACTTTGCTGATCCCGACGAACTGACGCATTTATATTCTGACTTTTTGTGTGTCGGGGTCCAGAACCGTCAATATACCCATCGAACTCGTCGTCGTCCCTAGCAGATTGTCCAGGTCTAGTAATACCTTAAATCACAAATTTAAAATAAAATTTAGTAAATATAATTTTTTTAAAAAAAATTGTAAATATTTTTTTAAATTAGTTTTTTAATGTCAAATTTTAAATTAATGATAAGAATTGATTAATTTACTTATAATAACATCTTAAGTTAATATTAATAACTATTACTCAATTTCAAATTTAATAAATATTGTAATAACTATTATAATAGTAATTAACTAATTTTATAATATTCACTAGTTTTTTATAATTATTATAATTAATATTTTTTATAGAATTTTTTCTTTATTAATATAATATTTTTCTTTTAGACAATAATTGTTCTAATTAAAGTAATATTTCTAATAATATTTAGTAATTTATTATTATTATTATGACAATACAATAATTTTAATCAAATAAATTATTTTATTATTATTTGTTATGATAATTCATTAATTTTATTTTTATTTATTTATTACTATTATTTTTTTTATTTATTACTAATTATACATTAATTTTATTTAACAATATTTTTTTATTCTAATAATTATTTTCATTATTTATTTATTAATATATAACAAAAAAAATATATGTCCGACCAGTTTGCGACCAGCCGAGGGGGCCGGTTTTTTTCACGTCCGTCTGGCCCCCATAAACGGACAGGTAGGGCGGCGTTCGACCGGGTCGGGCCGAACGCCAAAACGGGCGACAGGTCTCTGTGACGGTCGCCCCGCGGGCCGTACGGGATCACCGACCGTACGGCCCGAGCTGCGTCCGGATGCGCGAGACTGGACGTGACACATAATTTTTAATTTTTTTAAATACATATAATTTTTATAAAAATAATTACCTTGCTCGAGAACAATGCTTTGCCGATTGTCGTATGATTTTTTCGATATTTTTTCAGATTCTTTTTGAAGGTTGAAGTTTCGATTTTAGAGAAATAGAGAAAGTAGAGAGATATGGTACAAGAGTATTTTCGTAAAAAGGGGCGGTAACTAGTAACAGTGGGTGCTAAATACTATTCACAAAATAAATTTACAAAAATTGAAGAATCTCCGACGATTATCAAAGTACGAAGATGGGAGAAGAAGAAGCACCTCCGCCGTCTCCGGCGACGACGGCAGATACTACGAAGGCGTGGCGCACATACATATCGGAAGAGCTTCCTCGCAGCGTCCAAGAGTCGGCCGACACAGCCATTCGCTCCGCCCGCTCACTCCACCAATCTTCTTCCACCCTTCTCTGTTCTCTCCAGGTCACACTCACAATTGATCCATCAAAATTTTCCTCAATCCATCTCCCTTCACCTCGTGCGCAGAAACTGTGTATATTGAGAAACACTTGCTTTTTTGCAGGACTTTGTTCCTCAAATTGGATCTCGGTACAGACACTATGAAGAGGCTTTCTTCACTAAAGTTAAAGGTGCGGCCAAAATTTTCTAATTTACGCACCATCCATGAGGACCAATCGTGCTCACCATTGTGTTTTCTTAAAGTTAATTTATCGTCCTTCCTTTAGTTTTGAAGAATTTGTCTTGTCAGAGTTGGTTTGCTAGTCTTTTGATGATATTTGTGTAGATGAGTTGGTGAAAGCTAGAGAACAACCAGCTCTCGTAGGTGGGGTTGCTATCACGGCTGGCCTCCTCCTTCTGCGCGGTATGTTGCTTTCGACTAATTAGCATATGCTCAAAGCAAATATAGATTATAATAGGACAATTGATGAATTAATGCAAAGGGCAACACATTTCAACCTAAATCGTGGGGCATTTAAACATTGGAAGGACTTGATAGTAATGACTTCTCAAGAGTCCATGACATCAAATCTGGGTCCTTCAGGCGACCGGTTTCATGAGGAGCACATATAACATCATGTATCCATAACAAACCAAAAATAACTAAAATATTCTACCGAATTATCCTTCTTGGGTTTTTTTTGTCTCACTTAAGGTGTGGAGGAACTGTTTTATCAACATAATGCGTTGATTTAATCATGTATAGGGCGGCATCGAGGTTTCTTCAAACCTAATTGTAAATTTATTTGAAAAAGAAGTGCTCTGGAATAGTGAGAAAGACCTCTCAATTCCTGCTTTTTGGTTGAATTGTCATGATGCTTTTTCTTTTTTTTTTCTTTTTTTTTTTCTTAAACTCTGTTAGTTATTGTGGCTGTGCTTCTTAGGGCCTCGAAGATTTTTGTTTCGTCAAACGTTGGGTCGACTTCAGAGCGAGGAGGTATCCTGATATATATTAATTTTTTTTTTTTTTTTTTTGGTTACGACTGATGCCTGATGGAATTGGAAGCAGTATCACACTTTTGGATAAATTTCCAATGATTTACATCTTGTCTAAAACATGCACACAATGTATTTGTGACATGCATCCTGGAAAATTTGTTGAGGGCACTTTTCATTTTGGCTGTACATAGGCACAATTTGTTAGAGCTGAAAAGAATGTTAAAGAGCTGGCTCTGTCTGTTGACTTAATGAAGAAGGAGAGCCAAAAGCTAATTGAAAGATCTGTCCTGGCTGAAAATGATATGAACCGTGGCCATTCTGACCTCATGTAAAAGAGTAACTGAGTCGCTTTAATGCAGTTGTGAATGAATCTTTCTTATTCATTGCACCTGATGCTTGCAATGATAATTCATATGTAGGAATGCTGGATCGCAAATTCAAAAACTTGCAAGATCATTTTATAAGGCCGAGTCTGAAGCTGCAGGTATATTCATATCCTTTTATTATGTTAGATCCTTTTTTGTTTCTTAATATTATCTTGAAACCAGTTTGCTTTTCCTGAATTGGTAATGGTCAAGGAGAGTGACTTCTTTTCGATCATTAAGGTGCATATATTCAGTTAAATTTCCGCTAACACTTTTGATGAATTGAAAATTCTGTCAACCCATAAGTGTATCAGAAGTTGTACATATGTTTTTGAATTTTATTTATCAGTTTGGTGAGGTTGTAGCATCAATTACTAAACAAAGGGAAGGAAGCTAACGTCCTTTAGTTTTTCTTTTTTTTTTTCAATCGGTAAAAAAAAATTTATAGATCAAAATTGTGAGTCAGACAACCGATAATCGGCATACAAAAGCGCAGCGGGCAACCACAAGCTCGGTTCTTTTAGTTAAATTGTAAGAGAGATGTGAAATTCTGTTCAATGCATGGTCAGAAGTCTTTTCTGTGTATCAGTGTGTATGAGTAGGTACTAAAACTTGTACTCTGAAGGGGTCACCGAATGTGTTTGCCAAAACCTGGGATCTGCTGGTAATTTCTTGATGAAAGCAATATCCCAACCCTGATCAATTTTGAACCTAAACCAGTAGAACCTACCTTTTAGATTCCATAAATTTTGTCTGCTCGTTTTCTTTAGTTCGTAGCAAAAAGCTTTTGATTTGTTAGTGTCTTTACTTTTAGTCATTTTTCTCTGCTTTAACGAAGTATTTGCTCAAACTAATCTACCGTGTTCCCTAAATGAGATTCTTGCCTGGGAGTGGGATAAGTTGCCGTAAATCAGTAAAACTTACTTTTTACTTAGTTTATTATCTAATAAACTTTTGAAGAACAAGATTTGTGAGATGTGACATGATACCTTTTGAAACCTTACTATTACTTGGCTTTTTCAAACTCTGCTTTTGCTCATGATGTCACAACTCGTAAATGAGTGAGCAGGAAAGGTTTGTATGTGTGTTTGTAGGATTGGTAAATTGACAATATCTTATGAGTTGCTTTTTCATGTGCCTCCAGCAAGCCTTTCGCGTTATCCTTTTTGTTTATACAGTTTCTTTTTACATGCTCTGCCCAGATTTGATGGATCTGCTGCGGGAAATTCCTGGTAGGGAGGCTTTGAAGATGCGAGCAGAAGTAAGTTTCATAAATCTTAGAAATTCTACTTAAAATGTAACTCACTTTGTTTTGCGCTTGTTGCCTTTCACTGTCACATTTTGACTTTAAATACTTATTTTCTTGTTGATATATTGTGTTTGCACCAGGTAGCTACAATGGCAGCTTATCTTCAGCAGCAAAGATCAGCACTGGGTAAGAGAATCCTGAAAACTTCTGAATTAGGTGTTCCCGTGTAACAATCATCCAATGTTTTGAGCTTTTCTCTCTGGTGCTGCAAGAAAATTTCGAGCTACTTTTCTTTATCGAACGATTATGAGATAGAAATGATGGCAGATTCACTTGTTTCTACCCAAAGATCATGAGACAAATATGATGAGAAATGATTTCAGTTTCACTTGTTTCTATCAAAGAGTATGAGAATTGAGAAATAATGAAGCCAAAGACTGGGAAATGATGAAGCTTGGTTTTATGTCATATCTAACCCTATCTTATGCCAATGCTTCTAATAGATAGGCCCAACGGTTAGGCAACCATATTTTTCAACACATGTACACATTTTCAAATTAAAATGTTTTAATCTAAAACCCATATAAGCAAAAGTGTGAAATGTGACATTTCACGTAATCACGTCATAAGTATACATTTTTGGTAAACAAGTATGATGGGTTGGACAACTTAAACTGTTAGGCCCTCTCATGCGGGATACGGGGCCTTCATCATCAACATCATCAACATATCCAGTATATTCCAAAACAGGTTGGGGTTTGGGGGTCAGTTGTACGCAGACCTTACCCTTGTAAATTACAAGGAGGCTGTTTCCATAGCGACCCAAGGTGCGTTGCGTCGTTTGATATATTTTTTTTAGAAACTTCACTAATAGAAGAAGCACTAGAATTTAATTGAGCCATTTTGATTTAGTCCATTATTTGCACGATGCCAGAAGAATTGTCAACACTGACTCTTCCAGCTCCATTTGCAATGACAATTGGATCATGTTAATTTAATCTAGTGGTTCAAGTTTTATGAAAAAACAGACATATATATATTAAAATGCAAGAGGAGTGAATGATTCCCACTCCACCGTGTAAATATGGTGAGAATGTTTCCCACAAATTTGGCTCATAACATTATAGTTTTACATTTGCATATTGTTTTTTAATCTGATTTTTTTTATATAACGAATTTGTACAATCACTTTGAAAAACATGTTACAATTTAAAAATCTATCGTTGTTAGATCACGTAGATTCGGAGCTGCTCGAGTGAAAGTGGGCATTTTTTAGGCTCGATGTAAAAATATGCAAGTTATATATTAATTGGTTATATGTTACATTTTCATATTGACTCACAGCATATTAATTGATTATTTCAAGAGAAAATAAATATGTAAATTATCATTCTAAATAAATATGTTTTTCTAAACAATGTCACGATATAAAAAATTAGAATGTGGCTAAATTAACTAAATGGAAGTCTTTTAAAAAGTTTAATTGTTCAAAATTTTACAAGTTTCATCAATTACATATTACTTAATAAATAATGTGATATAGGATATTATCTGTACAAAGACGAGCCGACTTGGTGAGCCGGTCGAGAAGAGCAGACCGAGAGCAAACCAAGCCGAAAGGCGGAAATCCAAGGGATCGAGCAGCCCCAGGGCTCGACCACACAAGCGATCGAACAACCCAAAGCTTGACTGCACCGGCGCTCGAGTAGCCTGACGCTCGATCAGACTGCTCGAGCTACCCATCAATCGATCAGATAAGTGATCGAGCAAGCTGAGTGATCGAGCAAGCTGATCAACATAAAGCCCAGACGCGTGTATAGCAGACGCGCGTGAAGGTCTCCGACTGAGCTTCAGGAGAATATTTACCCCATGTGCCGGGTGGACACGTGTCGACAATGTATTGGGTGATAGCGATAACCACATCTGACAACGCCCAAACGTCTCGCGGCACCTCTGACATGTGCGCGGCGTGTCAGAGTACGGACGGGCAGCTGGGGCAGCACACGTATCCTTATCCGGGCAGCTATTAGGGCAGGTATCTCATCCCTATAAAAAGGGGATGAGCCTTTCTTCCTTAACACATTCTATTCATTCTCTAAACTCCAGTATACTCATACACATACTGACTTAAGCATCGGAGGCTCTTCACCGGATCCAACCCCCGGTGTGAGAGTTATTTGCAGGTTCTCGGCGTTCTACCGGCAAGGACAAGAATCGATCTACTCCAAACCGGACCTGGACGCTTACGCTTGCATTATAATGGATGGATAATTTTTATTTTAAAAAGTGTATATTGCAATTACATTATTTCTTTGAGATAGTGGTGTAGAATAATAATTAAGATTATTATTATTATTATTATTATTATTATTATTATTATTATTATTATTTTATAGGTATCTTGGAGAATAAGTTAGGAATTTAATATTATTATAAGAGATCTTGTCTTGTTGAACAAGTTAGGAATAGGGTTATGAGCCTTATTTAAAGGACTCATCTTCTGCTGTTTTATTCAGTTGAGAATGAAATAAAAATTGATATCGTATTTTGGTGTTTTTGAGATTGCGATCTCATTAATATCGTCCCACCCGTATGCTTCCCCTACATCAGTTGGTATCAGAAGTCAGCACGATTCAAGATGTCGCCGCAGAAGGACGATATCGACGGGTGTGATGCCACCATTGAGTATCCGGGTTGACAAGCCACGGGCTTCGGCCGCCAGATTAATCAATTGGATCGTCGGGTTGAGGATCTTTCGAAGGAGATCAAAGAAGTGTGTTTTACGATCAACAACTTGGTTGAGGATTTGCAGACGAACCGTGACGCAGGCAACCAGGGCATTTGCGGGGGAGTTCACGGAGGACGTGGAGGCCGTGGTCCAGGATCTCCACAACCACCGTCCGGCGACGACGGCGAGGATACTATCTCGGAGGTGAATCCCTTCGGTGAGTGGAAACCTCCGCACGTCGAGGCTGACCCCTTTGCTGCATAAGATGGCCGTGACATGCGGCGACGAGGCCCGGTCTTCGTGGACGGCGACGATCAACGCAGCGACAGGGGCTGACGCGAGGAGGCAGCCTTCGCTGATGGATATCATGCCCGATACGATTGGGAACTTGATCACAATATGGTCAATGTGAGGGCCCGTTTCGCATTGACATCCTCGAATTCGACGAAGAGCAAGTTGATGGGCCATTGTACGATGGTCCACCGATGTTTGATGAAGAACCCGAAGAGATGAAGGAGCGTCTTACCTGTGAAGTGGACAGTCTCTATGACGGTCCGCCGATTTTCGATGAGGAGACTCCGGACCCGGAGGAATTCAATCATGTTTCGGGTATCAAAATTCAGCTGTTGGAAGAATTTGGTGTTCGATTGGTAGTTATTCTATTGCGCAGGCTCGAGATTTTCTCCCATGAGAATTTGTTGCGACTTTGCAAACAACTGCTATTTTTTGGTCCCCACGGCGACCTCACTGTGTATGGCTGCAGCATATATGTTTTTCCATGAATTTCAAGGGGGTGATACCATGGAGGTGCGACATTCAACTTTCGTGTGCGACCGGGGAAAACGACAGGGGGTTTCCTACCATGGGTTCGACACCACATGGCGGCCACGGGAGCGCATCGGCTTCGAGGGCAAAGCCTTCCGAACCGGGGGAGAATGGTGTAGAATAATAATAATAATAATAATAATAATAATAATAATAATAATAATAATAATAATAATAATAATAATAATTTATTATTATTATTATTATTATTATTATTATTATTATTGTTGTTGTTGTTGTTGTTGTTGTTGTTATTATTAGCATTATTATTTTATAGGTATATTGGAGAATAAGTTAGGAATTTAATATTATTACAAGCGATCTTGTCTTGTTGGACAAGTTAGGAATATAGTTATGAGCCTTATTTAAAGGACTCATCTTCTATTGTTTTATTCAGTTGAGAATGAAATAAAAATTGATATCGTATTTTGGTGTTCTTGGGATTTGCGATCTCATTAATATCGTCCCACTCGTACGCTTCCCTACAGATAGTTAAAATATGTTTTGGTAGATGACCCTTTATTTATCAATCAATGTAATATTATATAATTAATATTTAATTTTATTTTTATTTTTAAATGTAATGTTATACAAATGTTGGATAAATAAGCATTTCCAAAGTTCAATTAAACCATGAAGTTCCCCACCCAATACAATAGTTTTCAACTAATCAGAAATCACCATCAATAATTACAACTAAATATGTATTATTGATTACGTAACGTAGCATAGGCAAAGAGGAACTAATTTACATGCCAAAACAATACAAAAGAAGTTAACTACAACTTAGAATAGTCGAAAAAATGACATTCTTCACAAAAAAAAAAAAAATAAAAAATTACAAGATAATGATCCGGTAGATAAAGCGAACACCTCCTATGAGTGGTTGGTATTTCGCATCGCCACGGAATCCACTGGCGGATCTACATACAGGCCAGATGAGGCTGTTTTTTTTTGTGCGAACTACACAATTTGTATAGTTAACATGTGTTAATTAAAAATTTATATTTAATATCTGTTAAAAATATAAATACAAGTTTTTTATTTTAAAATTTTAAATAATTCTTACAAAATAACAATAGTTTTTTTATTTGAAACGATACACCCCACCTGTCATACTCGACGTTTAATATATCACAATATATATAGTACTTATACCATATAATAGGCTTGACATATAAATCTATTGTTTTTCAATCATAATTGATGAATATATACATTTTATTAATAGAGATCAAATAGATATGATTATTTTAATTTGGAAAATACTACAAGTACATAATAAATGTACATAGAGAGGTGTACATAACACTCACATGGACCACTTATTTTTTTTAGTGGATCCCACTCAATGTGAGTGTTATGTACACCCTTATGTGCAATATTATGTACTTATAGCATTACTCTTTTACTTATATATACGATATGAATGTCAAAATATAGATCGTCAAAGTATGACTAATTTAATTTATCATACATAAAAAATGATAACAAATATAAATGTTATCAACTTATAAAATATATTTGCACTTTAAGTTAGTCAAGTGTTTAAATTTGAAAGTTCTGGACAAAAGTCCACATTATATAAACTATTTTGAATCGTCAGAATTTAACTTATAGAATTACAGACAGAGTGTTGTTAGTTGACAATGAAAAACTCTAGTAATAAGATAATTC